TACAGTCCAGGGCTCTGTCTAGATGCTGTGACCCTGCTTCTTGCTGGGGGCGTCAGAAGAAAGGCTGAAGAAGCGTTTTCTCTCGGGCCACTGAACCACATTCGAGTGAAGCTTCTCTCTCTCTCAATGGACATTCACATACATCTTTGTCAGCCTATATATAGGTCCCGAGATATGTGTCGCACGCACTCATTCCATGGATATTCGTGGAATACTTTTTATGGGCCAGCCACTATCCTAGTCTCTAGGCAGAAAAAGGCAAATACAACACAGCCTTGCCCTCAAGGATCTTATAGTCTTTCAGAGCAGACAGATACTCGAGGAAAGAGGTTTGCTTAAGACCCAAGGCAGGGTGAGGTCATCCGAGGTGCTCCGATAACCCGCGGGGGAGGCGGTGTGACCTCTGGGCAGCGAGAGCAGCAGACCCTGCGCAAGATCAGAGAACCAGAAGCAGTCAGAGCCTTTAGGTCACAGCCGACGCGTCGATCTGTGTGGGCTGCAGGTGTTGAGTTAATTCCGCACTGCTGGGACGCTGGGCAGGAGCTGGACGGGAAGTTGTGGATGTCATGCTGAGCAGCATAGATTCTATCCTGAAATCAGCGAGCCAGTGCGGGTGGCATGTTGCTTCCACTGGGGGCACCGTGGAAGACGGTGAGAGGGAGGCATCTGGGAATCGGGAGTGCCAGGGAGGAGACCTCGCGATCTTCCAGACTACACGCTTTAGCGAACCAAGGCATTGCCACGAGGGTGAGCAAAGTGAGTGGCAATGAGACAGAGGCAGACAACAGAAGCAACAGGACGTGGTGACCAGTGAAGCCGGGGGCCGAGGCAGAGGGGAGCCAAGGATGCCACAGTGTTCTTGCTTGGGTAACTGGGTCTCGGGTGGCGCAAGTCACTGAGGTTGAGGATGTGGAAGAAGAGGCTGATTAGGGAGAAAGACAATGAATTGTAGTAAATAGTTTTAAATGATAGTAACTTTTCAGGGTAAAAAGAGAGTGAAGTTAGTAAGGGCCACGAAGATATTCAAGAGAGAGCTAAATTATAGGCCAGGACTCTGGAGACAAATAGGGGATAGGAATGTAAAAATGAGGGAAATCGGGACATTGGTGACACCTGGGGCATGGCAGTATCTGAGACACCCAGAAAGAGCACAGGAAGTGGGACGAGGACCGGCGGGAACCGAAGCAGAGGAACATCAGTACCAGGGAGAGAGGAACAGGAGCTCATGGGACTCAGAGGAATGGCCAGCAACACAGCAAGCCGACGGGAAAGGGTGCGTCACGAAAGCCAAGGGAGAGACAGTGAGTGATTGAAAGTTCCAGACAATGCAGTGATGCACAGAATAATTTTAAATGCCTTTTACTTGGAACAACTAGCAAATCATTGCTGACTCCGGTGGTGAGAGAGGGTACAGTCAGACCACGGTGGGCTCAAACAGTGAGTGGGAGTGAAACCCAGGGCCCAGGTCACTCCTGTGAGGACAGGAGGGAGGATAAGAGTGAACGAGGTAGGCCGACCGTGTCTATTGGCTCGTAAGTGGTTAATAAAGCCCTCTCTTTTTATGGGGACCCATTAGGTTGAACCCTACATTGCTGCTATCTTTATAGGGCACAAAATGTCAACAGAAGGAATGTCAGATGAGGTGACCTGATTGGGTGGGAATGCGTGATCTCGCCGTTACTTTAATCCGTCCTGTTCTGTGAGAAGCAGCCGAGACCATCACAAAGCATCTCTCCAACCGAATCACATGCAGGCTGCAGGGACCACTGACAAGCCCAGGACTCGAGCCACGCGGCCTGGCTTGGGCCCAGGCTCAGCACCACCGCTGGGGGTCTTCACAGGTCCCTTGACCCCTCTGGGCCTAGTTTCCTCATCTTTAAATACAAATATAGATATAGATGACAATAATGTAGCTCTCCATATACATACAGATAGCAATATATAAAAAGTACACCCCCTAGAATTGTCTTGAGGATTAAATGAGTTACTTCCTATTCACTGAGGGAAGACTGGATAAGTAAAATGTGGCCCATCCACATATTGGAACATTATTCAGCCTTAAGAAGAAAGGAAGGAAATCCTTATACAGTCGTCCCTCACCACTTCACGCTTCGACTTGCGCGGCTTCCCTCTATCGTGGTTTTTTCAAATATATTCATTAAAAAGTTGATCGAGCCCTGGCCGGTTTGGCTCAGCGGTTAGAGCGTCCGCCTGTGGTCCGGAGAGGCCCGGGTTCGGTTCCCGCTAAGGGCATGTACCTCTGTTGCAGTTTGTCCCCGACCCTGGTTGGTCGTGCGGGTGGCAGCCACTCGGTGTGTCCCTTTCACATCGATGTTTCCCTCTCTCTCTCTTCCTCTCTCTCCCTCCCACTCTGTCTGTACAAAAAATGGAAAAATGTCCTCGGATGAGGATTAAAAAAAAAAAAAAAAAGTTGATCGAGACAGTGAAAATGATACAGCGCGTGCTCGGTTGTCTGAGTCAATTGTACATCCCTGCATTACAATTAAAATGAAAATCACTGCGTGTATGGACTGTAGGCCTATGTATTCGAGCACCCCAGGAATCCCTCAGCGCCAAGGGCAACCGCTAGAGTCTGGAGCAGATTAACCGCGATAAACAAGGGACGACTGTACCTGCTATCACATGAGTGAACCTTGAGGACATGATGCTGAGTGAAGTCAGCCAGTCACAAAAGGACACATACTGTGTGACTCCACTTACAGGAGATACCTAGAGTTGTCCAATTCAGAGACAGAAGTAGATCGCTGTTGCCAACGGCTGGGGCCGGGAGGGAGAGTTAGTGTTTAATGAGGACGGTTCGGTTTGGGAAGTTCTGGAGATGTATGGTGGTGATGGCCAAACAACAATGAGGTACTTAATGCCACTGAACTCTACACTTAATATGGTTAAAATGGTAAATGGTATGTATATTTTATCACAATAAAAAATTTTAATTAGGTTACTGTTAAAAGCACTTAGTAACTGTTATATAATTTCCAAAATATATAGAGTACTCATACAACTCAACAAAAGGGAGACGGAATCTAATTAAAAAATGGGCAAAGGACCTAAGTAGACACCTCTCCAAACAGGACATACAAATGGCCAAGAGACATATGAAGAAATGCTCAATATCACTAATCATCAGAGAGATGCAAATGAAAACAACAATGAGGTACCGCCTCACACCAGCCAGAATGGCTGCCATTAACAAATCATCAAACAATAAGTGTTGGCGAGGGTGTGGAGAAAAGGAGACTCCAGTACACTGCCAGTGGGAATGCAGACTGGTGCAGCCACTATGGAAAACAGTATGGTGTTTCCTCAAAAAAATTAAAAATTGAATTGCCATTTGACCCAGTGATTCTATTTCTAGGAATATATCCTAAGAAGCCTGAAACACCAATCAGAAAGAATATATGTACCCATATGTTCATAGCAACTCTATTTACAGTTGCCAAGATCTGGAAACAGCTCAAGTGTCCATCAATAGATGAGTGGATAAAAAAGCTGTGGTATATATACACAACAGAATACTATGCAGCTGTAAAAAAGAAAGCTCTCTTATCCTTTGAGACAACATGAAGGGACCTCGGGTGTATTATGCTAAGTGAAATAAACCAATCAGAGAAAGACAAATACCACATGATCTCACTCATTTGTGGAATATAATGAACAAGGTACGCTGATGAACAAAATAGACCAGAGACATAGAAAGGAGTATGGTTCAGACTGACAAACCTCAGAGTAGGGGCGGGGGGGATGGATGAGATGAACCAAAGAACTTATATGCATATATGCATAATCAATGAACATAGGCAACAATGCTAGGGGGGTGGGGGAGGCAGAATGGGGAGGAGGGGCTCTGGAGGGGAGGAGAAACATCTGTAACACAAATAAATTAATAAAAATTGAAAAAAAAAAAAAAAAGAAAGAACCCAAAGAACAAATGAAAGAGGGAATTAAGCAGAGTCACACTGGGAAGGGCCCGGGGAGGAAGGGGGAGGAAGCAAGGTGGTACCTGCAGAGACATGAGAAGAGCAGAGCTGGGGCAGCGGAGCGCACCTGCTCTTCGCGAAGACCATGTAAAGGTTCGCCCAGCAGACATTTATAGGGAAGCACCTACCAGGTGCCACTCCCTCTGCTCCAGCAAAACTGCAGGGCAAGCCCGTGAGAAAACAACTGGCCTCACAGTGAAGACGGGCTACGGGGAGATGCCAAGATGCTCCAGACGTTGGACACCACGCACGCCCACTAGGAACGGCCCGTCTTGCGGTCGGCAGGGCCGACGGGAAATCTGGGATAAATGCAATTGCCGTGCCGTGCCCACCCCAAGCAGACGCTCGCCCGCACGGGGACTGGGCCACAGCACTCCTCGGCACAGCCTGTTCTCTGCAGCCTTCCCCAGGAAGGAGGACACGGGCGGCAATAAGAGAGCAGTTCCTCGGACTTTCCAACCAAGCCAGCGCCTGGGACCCCTGCCCGCGAGCGGCCCAGCCGCCTAGGGTGGAAACCAGGAGGTCGAACCTCGCCAGGGGGTTCAAGCGTGCAGCCAGGATGAGGGCCACTGGATCAGAAATGGCGACTGCTCTCTGCCACCGATCCCAGGAGACCCTCGGGGAGCAGGAGGAGAAGGGTGGTTTCCACTCCTGTCAGCGGGACTGTCCGTGGATGCTAACACATGACAGAAGGCTGAGCTGCCCTCGACCGGAGGAAACCTACCCCCACCTTCCCAGAAGGTTGGCTTCCGGGGAAGCTTAACCCCCAGGCCCAGCTGTGCACGTCCAGGGCCTCTCCCTGTCCATTAGCAGAAAGGGCTGCTTAGGGGACCAGGCCCCACGCGGGTCCCTCACTCTGGAAGGAACCTCCACCTGTCCAACCAACAAAAGGGTGCTTCCCCCAAAGGGCAGCTGAGGGTCTCTGCAGCTAAGCCCCTGCAGCTTTTCAGGACCTGGGAGCTGAGAGGGCGGGGCGGGGGGGAGGGCGTCCCCAGCACTCACCGCGGAGCAGCTTGGCGCAGCGCAGCCTCGGCCTGTGCTGCCACGTGCATCAGAAGGCTGCTGAGGGCCGGCTGCCTCGAAGGGAGCTGGAAGTGCAGGCTGCTTTGCTCTTCCTCCAGGTCTTCCAGCCTTTGCTTCAACGTCTCAGCTAGAAACCCAAAACGAGAGGGAGGAACACAGGACCATGAAACTCAGACATCCAGCCTCTCTTAGCTCCGCTCCCAGTCGAAGTCCACCGTGATAACGCCACACAACGGTCATACAAAGGTCATAGGTTGCTAGGCAAGAGATTTCATCTCTCAGTTGGTGCTTTAAGAATCTCCTATCTTGCCCAGCCGGTGTGTCTCAGTGGACTGAGTGTCATTTCATGGACTGAGAGGTTCGGTTCGATTCCCGGTCAGGGCACATGCCAGGGTTGCGCGTTCCATCCCCATAAGGGGCGTGCAGGAGGCAGCCGATCGATGTCTCTCTCTCACATCGATGTTTCTATCTCTAAAAAATCAATAAAGTTACATTTATTTTTAAAAAGAATCTCCTGTCTTTCTACTCACAATACAGCCCTCTTGCCTTTAATTTTTCTAACAATTAGAGGCTATCATTTATATCATGGTCATTATGATTATCATCACATAGAAGGATATTTAATATCAAATATTTTTAAAACCATGATGATTGTTTGGGAGAAAATCTGCTCATTTTAATGAGTTCTATATAATCAGCTGTTACGGAAAAATCAGTGCTCCAGTGTTGATTTTAAGAATGATTCCTTAGAAATTGCCCATCAAGATAAAACCTGTCAGCCCTGGCTGGTTTGGCTCAGCGGTTAGAGCGTCGGCCTGCAGTCCAGAGACCCGGGTTCAGTTCCCGCTAAGGGCACGTACCTCGGTTGCAGTTTGTCCCTGGTCCCGGATGGCGTCGTGTGGGTGGCAACTACTAGATGTGCCTCTTTCACATCGATGTTTCTCTCTCTCTCTTCCTCCCTCTCTCCCTCCCGCTCTATCTGAAGATGAATGCAAAAATGTCCTTGGTTGAGGGTAAAAAAAATAAAAAGATCCTTTAATAAAAAATAAAAAAAAGATAAAACCTGTCAGAGTTACTAGTCACAGAAACAGTGTTCAAATCCCATCATGTTACAGGCAACCATGCATCCTCTTCTATTATAAAGTAGGAAAGTCTCCTAGGACAAGGTATAAATACAGAATCACTGCAAAACAATTTCTCTTTTAAAAAATCAACTACAGAAATTGGAATCCCCTGAAATGAGAACTTAGCTTCATAATCAAACACCTGAAGAATTGGAAAGTTTCCCATAAAGCCATTTTGCAGAAATGTAAGGACTGTGTTTATAAATACCACCCATCAGAGCTTCCGTGCTGGTGGCCCTGGCCAGGAGGGGCTGTGAACCCCTGATACCTTGTGCCCTTGGGTAGTAGATGGGCCCTAGGACTGCCCAGGACCCCAGGCAGTCCCCTCTGGCTGTGAGCGCCTACTGCTCGCCCCGGGATGCAACGCAAACACTACCCTTCCCCTGTGTGCAGTCCCCTCTGGCTGTGAGCACCTACTGCTCGCCCCGGGATGCAACGCAAACACTACCCTTCCCCTGTGTGCAGTCCCCTCTGGCTGTGAGCACCTACTGCTCGCCCCGGGATGCAACGCAAACACTACCCTTCCCCTGTGTGCAGTCCCCTCTGGCTGTGAGCGCCTACTGCTCACCCGGGGATGCAACACAAACACTACCCTTCCCCTGTGAGCAGTCCCCTCTGGCTGTGAGCGCCTACTGCTGGCCCCGGGATGCAATGCAAACACTACCCTTCCCCTGTGTGCAGTCCCCTCTGGCTGTGAGCACTTACTGCTGGCCCCGGGATGCAGTGCAAACATTACCCTTCCCCTGTGTGCAGTCCCCTCTGGCTGTGAGCACTTACTGCTGGCCCCGGGATGCAATGCAAACACTACCCTTCCCCTGTGTGCAGTCCCCTCTGGCTGTGAGCGCCTACTGCTCGCCCCGGGATGCAACGCAAACACTACCCTTCCCCTGTGTGCAGTCCCCTCTGGCTGTGAGCGCCTACTGCTCGCCCCGGGATGCAACGCAAACACTACCCTTCCCCTGTGAGCAGTCCCCTCTGGCTGTGAGCGCCTACTGCTGGCCCCGGGATGCAACGCAAACACTACCCTTCCCCTGTGAGCAGTCCCCTCTGGCTGTGAGCGCCTACTGCTCGCCCCGGGATGCAATGCAAACACTACCCTTCCCCTGTGTGCAGTCCCCTCTGGCTGTGAGCGCCTACTGCTGGCCCCGGGATGCAGTGCAAACACTACCCTTCCCCTGTGTGCAGTCCCCTCTGGCTGTGAGCGCCTACTGCTGGCCCCGGGATGCAGTGCAAACACTACCCTTCCCCTGTGTGCAGTCCCCTCTGGCTGTGAGCACCTACTGCTGGCCCCGGGATGCAATGCAAACACTACCCTTCCCCTGTGTGCAGTCCCCTCTGGCTGTGAGCGCCTACTGCTGGCCCCGGGATGCAGTGCAAACATTACCCTTCCCCTGTGTGCAGTCCCCTCTGGCTGTGAGCACTTACTGCTGGCCCCAGGATGCAGTGCAAACATTACCCTTCCCCTGTGTGCAGTCCCCTCTGGCTGGGAGCGCCTACTGCTGGCCCCGGGATGCAACACAAACACTACCCTTCCCCTGTGTGCAGTCCCCTCTGGCTGTGAGCGCCTACTGCTGGCCCCGGGATGCAACGCAAACACTACCCTTCCCCTGTGTGCAGTCCCCTCTGGCTGTGAGCGCCTACTGCTGGCCCCAGGATGCAACGCAAACACTACCCTTCCCCTGTGTGCCTCAGTGAGAGGGTGTTTTGGAGGGTGTTTTGGAGGCTCCACCTACATCACGAAGACTCCTTTGTACTTCCGCAGCCCTGCAGCCATTGTCCAGGTAAGCCCTTTCTAGAAGACTCAATTTTGGATTAAAACACTGTTTTCAACAAGCTTATTATTTTGAAAACTCTTTGAACCAAGCCCTGTATCATATACCAGCAGAGGTCAATGCTAATCACAGTGACCCTTCTCTCGGGCTGGCCCATTCCCGAGACACACCCTTGGGCGAAGGAGAGGCTGTGCCCAGGTGTTGTGGGCAGCAAATCTGGGTCTCTGGAGATGTCACCTGAGAACCTCCCATTGATGCACCCTGTGTCTTGGGACTGATAGCCAAAACCTGCCAAGAGGCTGTGCTGATGCCGGAAAGGGGCGTGCACTTAACTACTGTTCGAGACCAAGTCACCGGTAACTGCAGACCCTCGGTCCCTGCTTCAGAGGGACAGCGGGCGAATTCAGACACCGCTCCTACAAAGCAGTGTCTGGCCTGACCGGGCTTCTACGGTGATGCCGAAAGGTTCCCTAACACCAAGCTTCAAAGGCTCTGTAAATTTTAATTAATTTAGGTATTTATTTATTTAATTGTTTAGTTACTTACCTCTTCCTTATTATATAACATCAAAAGATCAGTGCCCAGCAGTAAAGCCCTCACCTTGTGTGCGCTAAGATAAATGGATGCAGTCATAACGCAGTGATTAGGAGAAAACGGAGTCTGTACCTCAGCTCCGCCAGGTCCAGCCGTCTGACCTTCAAGTTAACCTTTCTAAGCTTCGGTTCCTGGTCTGGAGAAATGGGGCTGTCTATGGTGTCTACATCATAAGATTTTCTGAGGATTAAGTGAGATCATCTATGCAAAGCATTTAGCACCATGCCTGGCACCTAGCACGTGCCCAGGACGACTGGCTCTTACCAGGTGACCGTTAGCCCCTGGCCTGTGAGTGTTCACAGGGAAGTTACACCCAGCTGGCCTCCCTCTGCCACCGGCCACATTCCCAGCTACACCCTCCCACCGCCAGGGGAAAGTCCTCAGAGAACACAGCTGACCCAGCAAAACAAAACCCTGGACATGGAACGTCGTCTGCCACCAATCACAGTCACAGGAAACCCCAAGGGAAACCCACACTCTCCCAGGAAACACCTGCGACTACTACGTTCCAGGGGCCACACCTTGAAAAGTGCCACGACCTCCAGCTGTTTCTAGTTCGTGGTTAGAAAAGCGCACTTGGGTGGCCACCAGCGATGTCACAGCTCCCATCGCCCCTCGTTGTGAAGTGTCTCCTCCTCCAGCCTCCGGGATGACTGTCAGCGGCTGGGGCTCCACTCACGCCAGCATCACCCCTGGTTGGTACCTTCCACAGGTTCCCCAAGGTACACCCCATCACCAGGTAGGTGGTCCAGGCAGAGGGGAACCCCCGGAGCGTCTGAGCAGTGCAGAGACATGACAGACTCACGTCCAACAGGAAAACCCACCTGCCCTGCTGGGACCAGTCCCAGGTCACAGCAGTGCCCCGGCCACACCTAAGGGAGGCCACCCACAAGTGAAAGTGGGGGCGGGGTGAGGGGTGCTCTGGGTTGGGGTGCTCTGACAGAGTGGACACAGGGCACAAGAGAAGAGAGAAGTCGAGTGTGACTGCAGTGTTTTCTGCCTGAGCTCCCAGAAAAATGAAGTTAGCAGGAGCCGAGCTGGGACGCCTGCTGTTCCCTCTCCTGGAAACTCCCAGGCAAGTCCTACTCTTCCTTCAGATCAGGCCGCTCCTGGGGCCCTGCCCATCCTCCAGGGGTCCCTGGTCTCTAAGCCCCCTGAGCACACCTGGGCTTCTCCTTGCACAGGTGCCTCACGCTTGTGTCCACTTGTTCAAGGCCCCTGTGTCTGTGAGAGGGACAGTGTCTCCATGCCTGTCGCTGTTTAAGGACCTGCACAGGATGCCACCTGACTCAGAGTGAGCACGCACAGCATACTCTGAAGTTCAGATGCCCTCATTGTGTTTGTTTCGTTTCATAGGCCACTTTACATCTTTCTCATGAGCAACCCCATGAATATAAAAACACAGAACTCATCGAGATGAAATCAAATCTAAGCTGGAGGAGACTAAAGAGACATGGCGACAGTACCCGATGTGTGTTCCTGCACCGGAGAGGAGGTAAGGGCAGTGCTGGGGTGGACAATGATGTGCGCATGGCCTACAGCCCGGCTGGGGTGGGCAGTGACGTGCGCATGGCCTACAGCCCAGCTGGGGTGGCCAGTGACGTGCGCATGGCCTACAGCCCAGCTGGGGTGGCCAG